ATTTTATTCAATTACTTAATATATAATTATATTAAATATTGAATTAAATAAATTAAGTAAATTATATATTATATATATAATTTTATAAAATATTTAATAATTGTATTTTACAGTTGAAAAAAAATTAATTAATTTTCTATAAGTTTCAGATTTCGATTATACTTATTATATTTTAATTCTTTTTTAAATAAACCGAAAAAATTTATATTTAAAATTAAATTAAAATCAGCATTGAAGTCAGAACCAATCAATGAAGTGTTAATATGCAATTATTGCACAATTACTTCCGATCAATATCAAGTGAATTTCTAAGCAAAAAGAACGGATGTATCTCTAACAAATTATTCAAACAAATCATCAGATGACTATTTGTTACCATCATTTGCATATTCTAATTATATGAATCATAAATCATTATCAAATTAGAAATATCTCTCACTTAATAATAAATATTTCAAGCAATTAACATTACATTATTTATATTTATCTAACCTCAAATTAAAATCATATGAAATAAATTATTTATTAATAAAACAGATTTTTATGAAAATCATACTTTTTAATTTATTTTATTTTATATTTTAATTTTGAAGATTAGAAAAATTGTTTCGAATACCTTATAATATCCATCAGTTCCATGGAACTCCGGACATCGATCTAAATACGGCACTAGAGAATATTTTCGAATTCGTCCCAATGACACTGTCATATTTTCATAAGTTAAAGAGAAAATAATGCACTACCAAAGTTTTCAAATATTCATGACGCAAATATACCGTGATCCTATCGAGATTTCATCGTAAACTGACAGTGCTCGTGGGTGGTAGAGACCACAGAGATTCACTATCATTTGTTTCATATCTTTTCATTTTGTCAAGAAATCATATCGATAAATAATTTTCCCTGGAGGATTGTTGTAATACTCTCTTATCACAAATAAGATAATACTTCAAATATTCTATACATCGGTTTAAAATTTGAAAAACATGTAACCTAATCGTAAGTATTTAATATATATTCTTGTCTAATTGATAAACTCAATTGTTAATTTATTATCGTATCATTCACGATTATATAGAATGAATTACATACCCATATATTTCTTTTCTTTATATTTTATTATCTTGTTACGTTGAATAATTCAATATTTTGTAACTATAGGCAAAAAATCAATTATTGCCATCACATAATATCAAGAAGGTTAAAAAAATTATTATAATATAATTAATAATAATTAACGATTTATACTCACTGATTACAATTTCTTTATCTTTTAGAACATGGTAATACAACTTATGATACATAACATCACTTTGAACTCATGATTATTTTATGGTTGTCTAATTTGATAAATAAAAACAAAATATAATATAATTTTTACATTTAGTTATTAATTATTTAATTTAATAATTTCATGATAAAAATGAAATTGAATTAATCAATTACTTTTTTTAACTCGTATTCTTTTTTATATCCTTTGATATTATAAAATGATTAAACGTGAAAAACATTTCATATGATAAGATATAAATATTATTATATCCACGATTTACTTGAAAATGTCTATAAAATATATGAACTATATGTCATCAATGCAACGAAGAGTCAAAACAAAAGAATAAATTACTTTATTTATAGCGTTAACAAATTATACGATATTGGGATAGACGGTTTAAAATGTTCAATTAGTTTTCATTTCAAATAATTTCGTAAAGATGGCAGCTAAGATACAATATATCGCATCGCCATCTATCAACGAGTAGTGCAAATAATAGTATTATATCGAAGAGTGAACATTTGATGATAAAAATGTATACCAACTTCCATCTCAAAGAAAAAATTAAAAATGTTAAACGACCCTCATTATCGAAAATGTCAATACAATAATTATTTAAATAAATACAGTATAAGAATGTTACTGACTAAAATAGACTAAATATATAGAGTATGCAATTACTCAGTTCGAATGCCTATAGCGAACACGAAGCACGTGTAAAATTCTTTGTACTCTAAAACGGGCTTATGAGTCGTCAGACAGCCATATTACGCAACAAAGAGTAAAATATCGCAAACAAATAAAACGCGTTTACTTCACTTAATTTTACTAATAGATTTTAACAAATCTTCATATAATACAAAATCATACGATTAAAAATATAGTTATGTATTTATATTACACTTTTTTTCAATATTCAATTAGCATTATTGATCGATTTACTTTAAAACATATTAATATTCGTTATGAATTTTCTTTCGTACTTCTTTATTTACTGACCTAATCTCTGCGCGTTCATTAATTCAATGAACAATCCACGCACGGAAAGCATTCGTAAAGATCTTACGTGTCGAAACATCCGTCATAACAGCCCTCAACGCATTGTAATTCGTCTTTCGACCGAATCGATAGAGCTTAAAAGAAGCCTTGTACCTAACCTCCCTCGCCTATGAAACATTAAAGTCACATATTGGGATCTAGGCCGAACGATATCACGAATTCAAGAATGCAAATCTTTATGTCTCTAAAATTTCATATCATTGATTTCAATTGAAATTTTTAATAAGACTCGTTGAAGATTACAGTGTTACCTAAAAATTAATATAACGATAATTCATTATTATTATCATACCACTGAAAGTGAAAATACTATTTTCTACTCTTTTTAATTTTATCTACTGTTACTCACTGCAAAATATACTTTTTATCTAATCTTTAACTGAATATCTAATATTTTAATGTTGCATTATAGCTTTTGCAATATATGTATATATGTCAATCTTAACTTGACGTAAATTTTATTTATATGTCTGACGTAATAAATTTTATTATATGTTTTATTTTTATAAAAATCATATAAATCGATATATATGATCTTGACTTATTCACTTTTTTTAAAGAAATATATTTATAAGATTATCTATAATTAAAATAAAAAGTTTGGAAATTTCTACATTTATTAATACTATTTTTAATAATAAAATATTTGCTAATTATTTCAAATTATATGAATATATAGAATATCATTTTAAGAATAAGAAAGAGTTTATTAAAAAATTTCATATCTAGATTTACTTTGCAAAATTTCGCAATCAAAGCAAATGTTTTCAAAAAAAAAAAAAAAGGAAGTTTCTTGCGATATTTCGCTTTATATCCATGCTTTATAACAATTATTCGATATTTATAAAAGTTGATTCACAAACTTACATAGATTTTAGAAGAAATAGATAGAAGAAACATGATTTCATTATTCAAAATGAATTTTTAAATTCGTTTCAATACCAAACAATTAACAATTAACAATTAAAAAAAAAAAAAAAAGAAAAAAAAGAAAAATAAAAATCGTACATCACTTAAAGTGTATTTAAAGTAAATGTACTTTAAAGTAAATGTACTTTAAAAAAAAAATTACTCGATGAGATCACACGTAAAGAAAAAGAAGAACCAATCAATGATGGCATGCCAGTGATTGGTTGTTCGTGATGATTATAGTTAACGACCACACCTTGCTGATTGTAAACGATACTTTAAATGGTCACTCGGTTATCAACGAACGTCCATTTTTACACATTTAATTTATCCTTTAAAGATAACGATGCAAATAAAATAATGTATTTTTTTATGAAACTATCTACGCTTTTTTTCCATTCTTCCACCGGAAACGAATACTATTATTGCTATCGATCGTTTCCTGTCCAAACACAGGAAATTTAGTTGAAAATCGAGACTCGTAAGTGTATAATAATTTTTATATTGTTTACTCTTTCCATAATAACTATTTCGTATTAAATAAAAAATTTTTCAAATTTGATAATTTAAATTCGAAATTTATTTTTACACGTGATGCGTTAAATTATTTTTTACCTGGTCGTATTGTCCACTTATACGTTTACAGTCTAGCGGGATGTTTTATGAAGATTATAAAATAAAAGAAAATATAAAGCGAACAATCGTGTCGCAATCTGAAACTCTATCTTCCATTTCCGTCATCTCTCGCGATATTCTCGCGCGACCGTTCACTTTCGCAACGTTCAAGAGGCAAACGTTGTAAACAAATTTGCTAGATAGACTACTTCTCCGTAGCAATTAGTCAATTATTGTAATTAGACGTAACGTTCCTTTTACTCGTACGAAAGGAGAATTCACTTTGCGAATTCTATCGTTAGGTAAGTTAGATTAAGTTTTAATGGCGAGAAAATTTTATAATATTTTTTCTCAAAAATATTTTGTAGATCACAATAGAAAATATATACAGAGTGTCTCAAAAATGTGAAAACATTAACATTGAAGATTTCTGAAGTAATTTTAAATTTTTTATTAATGACTTTTTTTTAAATTAACAAAAAAACACGTTGAAGTAAAAAAATTATAATTATTATATACTTTATTCATTGTTCGTGATATAATTCGATATAATTTTTTATCAATAAAAAAATATATTCATTACATTCATTTCTTTGAAATATGTTTTTTGTTCACGCTCGGTCGTCACACATAGCCAACGCTACTGTTGCGACTCGACCAAGTTACGCTACGATTACGCTACGACGATATTGAATATTATAATTTATTCATTGTTCGTGATATAATTCGATGTAATTTTTTATTTTCATTCAATTTTCTTCGAGATACGTTACTTGGATTTGTTCGCGCTCGGTCACCGCACATAGCCATTGCTACCGTCGCGGCTCGATTAACTTACACGCTCCGTGATTGGCCAGCATTTTTCGTTAATAACACGTTAACAAAGCCTCAACGAAAATTCTCGCAAAGGAAAATATTCTTCAAAATTACCCAAAGAATCTCCCAATTAACGTTTTCATATGAAATGATCATATTTTTGGAACACTCTATATATATTTTGTATCCCCACCGTTATTTTTTCAAATTCAAATAATAAACAAAATATATAAATTGAATAATTGAATAATAAATAAAATAAATAAAATACAAATAAAATATATAATAAATAAAATATAAATAACAGGAAAGAAATCACGCTTACCTTCCTCTTCCTCTCCTGTACAAAGTCCACCCTGCGAACCCAGACCTCCTCTGTCGAGTCGTAATCAAGGGTGCTGGAGCTGCTCGCCTGACTCTTCATTTCTATCAAACTGCTATCGAAGAACCTTTTGTCGAAATGCGGACTAGGGAGGGGGCTTGNGGCCGTTATTCTTCGCCGCCTTCTATTCGGTCACGCTCACCCTCTTCAAGGTTCTCGGTTATGCTAAATACTTAGATTTCGCGCGATCGTTCGAAATCTGGCTACGCTCGTGCGCCAGATTTTATGCGAC